CTTATAGAAGTAAACAACATTGGTGTGGCAACCCAAGCGAAAATTGATCCTTGGATTGCGACCCATTCCATCTAAAAAAACGAAGTTGAGAAGAGCGATTACGCACTCACCGCGGCAAAAGCAAGCCCGGAACCTGCCAAGGCGCCCCGCCACGGCTGCGCCCGACCCGACGCGAGCGCGAGCGCGACACCGGCGCGCGCGTAACTCAAATCGCGCCATGATTCAGCAAGTCACGGCGGGAAAAGGCTAAGCACGTTTTGGCCAATCATCGATGATAGGTAGCTATTGTTTTGGGAGAGGGCTCCTTTTTTGACCGGCCCGTGGTCAATATGTTCAAAACAATTTTGTTCTCGGTTAACCAGATAACCAACCGAAGTTATGCTGCACAGACTGATAGGCGGGCAGAAAGCTGTATGGGGGCCTCTGGCCACGGATGGTGATGAGTGGCAGTCGTAATCAAGGTTGCGTTAGTTTAACCCAAAGCAAAAAAAAGGACCAGACTGACCCTGGCTAATGGTGGCATGGTGCAGATTCGAGCACATGGCTCCACGGCCAGTTTCAGGCAGACGCCCCATTCAACTCCCTCTTTTGATGGCGAAAGAGCGCAAAAGCCGGGTTCACTCGAGAGATTGATTCTCACCTAGGAAGAATGGCAGTTTAAAACTAGGTTAATTGCTGTGCAAGGCGAAAGCAAGGCACGCTTGCCAGTACTGACAGTTTGATTATTGGGGTTGGTTAATTAAGCCGCCGGACCGGCGAGCCGATTCCATCACGTGCGTGCGCACGGTCGAGATCCAGCAAGCCCTCTGGCTGTGCACCGCCATGCGTCACCCCAACCAGCCACGAGCGCGAGTTGGGTCCTAGTATGAGCCACAAGAGGCGCTGATGCTGTCGGGGGCCGTTTATTTAGGGAGCTCGTCCCAAATGATATGGCCGGCCCGTGGAATGACGGCTGTCTCGGCGTGCCTAACCATGTGCCGCTGCCGTCTGATAGGCGGGCAGAAAGCCTAGCGGCGCCTCTGGCCATGATGAGTGGCAGTGCACCAAGGTTGCGTTAGTTTAACCCAAAGCAAAAGCTTAGGACCTGACTGACCCTGCCTAATGGTGGCATGGTGCAGATTCGAGCACATGGCTCAACGGCCAGTTTCAGGCATTGTTTTGTTCAACTCCTCTCTTTTGCTGGCGAAAAGAGCAGCAAGCCGGGTTCCTGTTTGATTCTCACCTAGGAAGAGTGGCAGTTTAAAACTAGGGTTATTTGGTGTGCAAGGAAAGCAAGGAATTGGTAGTACTGACAGTTTGATTATTGGGGTTGGTTAATTAAGCCGCCGGCCGCCAGCCGATACACGTGTGTGCCGGTCGAGATCCAGCGTGCCTCTCTGGCTGTGCACGTGTATGCGTCACCCCAACCAGCCACGAGTAGTTGGGTCCAAGTATGAGCCTATGATGAGGTGCTGATGCTGTTTAGCCGTTTATTTAGGAGCTGGAGGGAGGAAATGTGATTATTAGGGAACAAACAGCTGGTTTTGGTTCCTGCAGGTTAATCATGCGACGAATAGTCAAGCCCATGAGGCAAGTGGGCCCCACCAGAGAGTCTAGGCCCTCTAGGGGTATGGCCCCTCTCGTCAGTTGGAGGAATCATCTTGTCTTCGTGTCTCGTCCGGCCCCGGCCAGCCCACGGAGACGGAGCTGCAATACCGCTGAGGAATTATTCTCTGTGTAAGTACTGTCAAAGCTTGCTTGGGAGTCACTCTGACGACTAAAAGAGAATTCATTTCTGCATCTCCATGTTGGGTAGTTGAGGCGCTGAATCCACGGTTTTGTGGTACCGGAATTTTAATTTCGACAGTTCTTGTCACCGGTCAAATGCGAACCCGGGGACAAGAGTTTTCATTTCCTTCCTGTCAGCCGTTAGAAAATCTGGATGGTTCAGTCTCTGAGTATTCCCATTTGTTTTTCTTCAGGTGATCTGTATCGGCCATACCGTGATTCGGTTAGGTGTACTATTTTATCTGGTTGTGATTGAATGAAGACAAAAATCAATCAAATGTATTTTTTTTAAAAAGAAAACACCTAAGGCGCTGTTTGGATGTTTGGAAAAAGTATACAGTTGTAAAATGGTTACACCTGTAAATTATTGTGCACAAGAAATCCATGGCATAATTATACACTTGTAAAATGGTGTTTGGGTGCACGGTTTTCATTTCAGGCAACAAGCGCCATGGCTTGTCACGTTTGCCGGCCTGTTAACATGTACAGGCTGCGTACCATTCCAGATATTGGCGTCAGACCAAGCAAACTTTACAAAACCTCAGGTTCAGAAATGGCATTATCAGTCATCATGCACATGTTGCTTCCAGACCAAATAGCATCTCACCAGTTTGCAGCTGCTTCAAGTCTGAACCAAGTTCAGACCTTGCCAACGATAAACAACTTGGCAAGAGATGATCAATGCCAGAATCCACTATAACACAAGAACAAAAAGCATGCTCATATTGTTCCTTCAAATAGGATCCAACAAAGTTGACATGCACAAACTGATGGTTGAAGCAACTGCTAGCATCAAACAATATTGTGTGACTTCATACTCCTCCACCGGTAAATGCTTCGATTTTGCATGATCTTTAAATGTTGCGGCCACTAACCTACAAAATATATAGAGCTATAAAATAAAATACACTGTATAATCTAAACAAACAAACTTTGGTGATAGTAAAATGACAATCCAATTTTGACAATAATTGCTAGTGTAACCTTCTTCCACTCTAGCCTGACAATAAAGACTCTCAAAAACTGCATCTTCTGAACCTTATATACACATAAAAACCCTCTGAACTACAATAATTCATCCTCCTATGTTTGTATATTTCAACATGAGGTGCTAATCAGGATAAGAAACTCACTACTGATATGTATGTTCTACCGGTTGTAATTTCTGTTATGCACATAAGAAAACACTCTTATATAGGCAGTACTGTGCTGTAAAACTTGCATTTTGAGCCAGCATGTACATGAGTATTGCTAGCTGTTCTTCTACAGTAACCCCCTTGTAGTCTGGATAAGTCCTCTTGAACTAAGATAATCTACAAGTGCTTTGAAAATCCGTGCCTCCATTCGAAGATTGCGATAAGATCGGCGTTGATGGCCCTCAAGAAGTTCACAAGTATACTCCGCACTACTAAGCTTCGAAGTATGGCATGGTGTTTTAGCTCTGGTAGAAGCTGCATATAATGTTGGGAAAATAAGAATCATTATTTCTTCATCTTCTTCCTATGTGATCAAAGCGGTTGTCACGAGCTGGTAAGTTCACAAGTATACTCCGCACAACAAGAAGATGAGAATGTCGACAGCAGTGCGCAGGCTGCTGCTGTTTGCCTCGACGTCCCCTACCAGCCTTCTGGCTAGAGGTTACCACTGTCCCACACAAGCGACCCACTCCAGCGTTCAGCAGGATGGAATGATGGAGGATGGTCGTTTCACGGGCTTGATGCACTGTGCCTATCCCATCCCATCACGCGCCAGCAGCTTTTGCTCGTGCAAAGCTACGCTATCCCGGCTTGGAGGACTGGCTGTAAAATCCGGTATCAGCCTATCAGATACTGCTATCTGCATCGCCTGGGCCCACTGGGCCTCTGCAGTGGAGGTACACGCGGGCCATCCCTGTAGTCAAGGGCTATACAATTCCGCGGAGCGGAGCGCCTGAACAAGTCTTTGTTTAGAGGGTATTGTACACTTTCCGACCTCCAACTTAGCACTGAAGTTTGACTTTCAACCTTCAACAACAAAACCAGGTAACAAACAACCTCCAACTATCAAATCCGGAGAAATTTGGTCCTCGGCTGGTTTTAAAAGCGGTTTTCTATTTTCGAGAGGCGCAGAAATTTTATATTATTTTTTTGAGCCTCTTAACGTCATCAAATGAAAAAACTCAAAACTACAAAGTTGTAGATCTCGTTGAGAGCTACAAATTTGGTATAAAAAGTATCTTCATTTGACTCCATATAAAAAATATATTATTTTTCTAATGCGGCAAGTGCGATTATGATGCTGAAATTTTATATTATTTTTTGAGCAACTTAACGTTCTCAAATTAAAAAATTTAAAACTAGAAAATTGTAGATATCATCGATATCTACAATTTTTATATAAAAATCATCTTCATCCGACGTCGTATTGAAGAGTTATGATTTTTCGAAAGTTGTTTTATTGCGTGAGAAGACTCCTACTCTACAGTATATGCCAACTGTGACTTTTTTTCAGCTCTAGCATACAGTATTTGCTTAGTCAAACTATCTCATGTTCAACAAAATTATAAATATTTATGACGTCAAATAAATATCATTAAATATATTTTTATAGGATTAAGTCCACTTTTGACCCCTCGACTATTGTGTCGGTCTAATTTTAACCCTCAACTATAAAACCGTCTGGTACCGGTACCACAACTGTCAAAACCGTTCATTTTTAACACCTGGGCGACGGCAAAGCTGTTTTGACCGATGTTGAGCGGTTTTGACACGCAACCTTCATGTCAGTGACATGTGGGGCCCACACGTCATCGACTCAATCCCTCCCTCTCCGTCCTCACGGCCATGGCTCGCCAGTAACCGGCCAGCTGTGGTGCTCGCGCCGCTGCTCTGCTCGCGCGTCGTGCTGCTTGAGCGCTACCGCCCTGCTCGCGCACCGCTGCCGCCTCCGCCCTGCACATGCCGAGGTGCAGGCGGGTGACGGAGGTGCAGCCGTAGAGCGCGCGTGGGAGAGGGTGGTCGATCGGCCACGGGCGGTTGAAAAAGACGAGATCTTGGACGCCCTTGGCGGCGATGAGCTCCAGCCAGCGCCTGATGTCGGCCTGGTGCGACGCCATGTGGCAGCGGGAGAGGTGGACTCAGCGGAAGGGGCCCGGGTGCGCGTCCAGGACGGGGGACGCCACGATGGCGACGGCCCAGGACAGGACGTCCTCGCCTCCGGGCATCGTGTGGTCGGCCGGGACGTAGGCCGGGAGGATGTGGGCGTCGACGACGGCGAGGGGCACGGAGCGCCAGAGGCCGCGCCAGCGCGTGGCGAGCGCGGCGGTGCGCGCGGGCGTCCTTGGCAGGGAGGCGCGACACGACGTTCCTGAGCAGCGAGTCAGGGAGGAGGCTTATGCAGTCGACACCGTCGGCTGGGGCCCGCGCGGCGATGGCGGAGGCGAGGGGCGCGGCGGGAGAGACGGGTGGGTCGGGGATGGCATCGTACGAATACGTGAGCATCATGGTCGTGCCCAGCGTCAATGGATCGGGAACGTCGACGCCGTCGAGCTGCATGTTGCTCATGCTGACGTCGACGCTCGTTTGAAACTGCTGCTCCTCCATGGTCGCCGCCGCGCTGGAGCGGAGCGGAGTGGAAGAGGAGCGGCGCTGGAGCGGAGTGGCGTGGCGGCGCGTTTGGATTGGGGAACGACCAGGCGGACTACTCTCTGCAGTGGAGCGATCTGCGCCGTCCGATCCATCCAAGGGCCATCTCACAGACTATCTAGCTGCCTGGCCATAACACCGTGCAGGATGCGACTTGGTCGGCTCCTGTCTGGCTGTCCGCAGTCCGCCGCCGTCGCCATTCGTTCCTTCCCCTCCGCCGCCGTCTGGCCCGCGAGCACATGCGTCGGCCTCCCTTCTCTTCTTCCTCGCTCGCCGCCCGGGTCTCCTCGTTCCGGATGCCGCGCCGCCCAGCTAGGCGCCTCGGAGGGCGTTCTCCGCCTTGCCCGCTGGCCACGCAGAGGCCGGTTTCCCGTGCGCCAGCTGTGTGGTGCTCGAGCCCTGCTGTAGTACGCGGCCACCGTGGTTGACGTCCAGGCGGCCCTTGGCAAGTTCCAGGCCGCGTCATTTTCAGGACGCGTCGGAGGGAGCAGCGCCCGCGAGGGAGCCGCGCGAGGGAGCAGCGCCCGCCTCGCTGCGCGCGGAGAGAGGACGCCTTGCGGGAGTGGCCGTGAAGATGGAGATGGAGGGGTGAGTCGATGATGCGTGGTCCCACATGTCAGTGTCAAAACCGCTCCACGTTGGACAAAACAGCATCACCCGCGTCCAGGTGCTAAAAGTGAATGGTTTTGACGATTGGGGTATCGATACTAGACGGTTTTATAGGTGAGGGTTAAAATTAGACCAACACAATAGTTGAGGGGCCAAAATTAGACAGTTTTTTATATCATACATATTTGAAGTCATAAGCATCGATACTTTTTACTATATACATATATTTTGTCAAACTTTAATAGTCTGACTAGCTACAAAACTAGAGTTTTTACCCTTTTGGGAGGAATGTAGTATGTGGTAGAATACCATTCAAAGTACGTACTTTTATTTTGTGTGGGCCCAACTACGCTAATAGTTTTCTCATTGAATTATATAGTATACATTTCACTGTCGTCGCAGGTAATAAACACCTACGACGAAGAGGTTATTAGGTCTCGCAAAGAGGGGAAAATGAAAGGATGTGTTGTTAGGTCACAAAATCCATCACTAGAAAATATTAGCCTCATTGTTGATTCCTTGTGGGGACTTACTCTTTGTTGATAACACCCTCATTGATTCCAGTGAGTTCAGGCTTTATATATCAAGTGATTTCAGCCTCATATGTTATGGTTACAAAGGGATCAAATAGACTCTAGAGGCATGGTACTATGTGGTGGTTTTGCAAGATGACGATGCTACCATCTCAGTCATTTTGTGGACGATGAAGTTAGGTGGGCCTAGTGCTTGGCAAGCATAACTCCTAGGATATTCTTGGCGTGGAAGATCTAGCTGCAAGAAATGGGCGACAAAGAGGAAATGACTAGACAACGCTAAAGGTGAGGTTTATTTAGGTAGTAACACACACTGAGGGATGCATAGAAGGATTTATTTGGATCCCTTAATCCTTGTTTGGATATTGTCGGATTCACCTCAATCCATATGTGTTGGGATGAATTGGGGTGAAATTTAGTTCAAGTTCCACTCCGATGCATCCCGACACATGTGAATTGATGCGAATCTAACTACATCTAAACAAGGCCTTTGAAGTAAATAATACATGTATTAGCCAGTGGAAACCAGCTTACAACTATTTGTTATTAGCGAGGTGTTGATAAAGCATTACATGGCATATGAGTTGTGGATCCAAATAATGCCTTAATAAACTGTTAAAGCTAATTAAGAAATCCAAATAGACCCTAAGTAGGGTTACTAAGGGAGGCAAAATAGAGGGACAGAGGGGGAGGGGTGCATACTAGGGTTGTATCGGTCTGTCTGAAATATATAGACCTATGTGACTTTAGTCACTCGACATAGATCTAAGATTTCAAATACTTGTCGTTTGGAGAAGGAAAACACATGTTGTAATTGCGCTAGAATCCTAATAAAAGTAGATCACGAGAGATTAACCAAATGACTTTATTCTTCCTCCAAATTAAAGACGGGAACAATTAACAAATCGAATAAGTATTACACGTTCGAGTGCTTGATTTTACATACACAACAAATGACTCTCAACAGATTACATGATTCGTAAATATAAAAAACTAGAATCAACACTCCTCTTGTTCTTCGAGAAGATGTCGCGAGCTCTTATGAAGAAATGATCAAATACAAAAGAAAATGGAAATTCAACAAGAGACAATACATGCGAACAGACAAGTATTTGGCCGGAATGGTTCTACAGGTTTTTAGAACCCCCGAAGGTGCGTGCACAAATGAGACAGAAGAGATCAGCAGACACAATGCATGTGTGCCATGCAGGGTGCGTGCTTAATCACGTACGTGAACGGCTACACGAGCGTGGAACCGCGCGGAGCTTACGCACAGATGTAGCCCTTGGGCACACATTTGCCACAGTAGTTGACGAGGGCGCTGAGCTTGATAGGGACATCGATGACGACGCCGAGCACGTTGGCCTTGATGGCCGTGCAGAGGCAGACGGCGGCCTCGAGGTCTACAAGGCCTTTGATGAGGGTGCAGCATGGCTCAGCAGGCACCTTGCCAGCCTCGCCTTTGACGAGGCCGAGCACATCGGCGCACACGCCGAACTTGAGCGCGTTCAGCGGGCACTTACCGCTGGATGGAGGGGGTGGGGTAGCAGGAGGCGGCGGCGGTGGCGGCGTTGGGGTCGGGCAGCTTCCGCAGGCGTCGGCCACTGTGAAGAACAGGAGGTTGAGAGCCACGAAGAGGACGGCCTTGGATGCCATGGCTCAAGTTGCAAGCCCCTGCCCTGCAGCGCACTGCTAGCTCGTGGATAATAAGTGGAAGTAGAAAGAAGAGACGACTATGCTTGTGCTAGCTATAGGAGTGAGATGGGATGGTTTAGGGAGGGGAGTATGGGTATTTATAGGAGAAACATGAGACCTTATGTAGCTAGCTCTCCTTTTCTGTATATATGTAGCTACCACATGGCCCCTTATAATAATGAGGTAAATTTGCACGAGCTCGATCTCTCGTCTACTACTCCCAATCATATATCTTGTCCCTTTTTTTTCAAAGCTGCTAGTCAAGGTTGGGAACTGGTTTTAGTCCCGGTTTCTCAACCGGGTGGTGTTCTTTAGTCCCGGTTTGTCACAACCGGGACTAAAGATCCTCCCAGCTTAAAAAAAATAATGCCTCCCACCGCTGCGCCCTATGAGATTCGAACCCAAGACCTCATGCACTGCCTCGCGCGAGCTTATCACCCCACCTACACAACACATCTAACAATGGATGGGATGCTTTCCTTTTGAACTAACCCATCGGGGGACCTTTAGTCCTGGTTGTTGTTACCAACCAGGACTAAAGGGTCCTTTAGTCCGGGTTGGTGTTACCAACCGGGACTAAAGGGTCTACCTTTAGTCTCGGGGGCAAAAAATGCCGAGACTAATGCCAAATTGGGATATTGTTCTAAAGTCTGTTCTCTAGTAGTGTCATGTATAAGGCCTCATTTGGTCTCCGGTGCCGGAGCCTGAGCCTGAGCCCTTCCGCCGTAGCTAGGTTTTGCTACATAAAACGGCTCCGGCTTCATGTTTAGTGCCGAAGTGTTTCTCCTCGTGGCGGAGCCGGTGTGGGTGCCGCAGCAAATAGGCTCTAAGTAAGATATATACAACTCACGTTTGACTCCCTCCATCTTGAAAGAAATAAATTTCTGAGGATATAATTTTTTTTCTCAAAAATAACTTTTCACAAAAACTTAGGACATTGCCTCCTAATACAGAAGCTAATCATCAGTGATACAAATGATAACTACCAAATCTAGGAGATATCCTCTGAGAAAGAGGAGACAAGAGTATATGCGTTTTTTGCCAATGTTCTTGTCTCTTTTTTTTTTGCAAAGTTATTTATCATGGGACAGATGGAGTACATATAATATCTTAGTATATAGCTTATTAGAAATCTCAAGTCCATGAATTGTTACATCTCTACCGGCATAGGGCCCAAAGACCATACAAGTTTTCCTAGTCTTAAATATATAGCTCAAGTTGTATCTCATCTTGAGGATACAACTAATTAATTCTTCTCTCACTTCCTTGTTAACTCTATGAAATCTCACCAAAATATCACATGTGCCCCTTGTCATGTATGACATAATAATAATGCACTAGAAATGGCCTAGTATTAGTCCATTCTTTCATCGCATGCCATTTGAAAAGCATTAATATAGGTAAATACACCACCTTGGAACACAAGTTGTATATCTCCACCTGAGATGAGATGTGGTGGTTCTATCAATTCTATTCCACAAAACAAAAAGGAAAAAGAAAAAGATAATAAGAAGTGGGAAGATAATGGACAATACAAAATGCCATTTCTATCCAAACACTCCCTATATTTATCCACCATCGAGATAGTATGTGCACGTAGATGTATGATTGTTTGGTTCACATAGCCCCTTTTTTCACATGTCTTTTATGTTCCTTGTAGATGTACCAAGAGATAACAAAATACAGCCGTACGTAAAAATTTGGTACTTCTATCCTTAACCATATCTGTATGTTTTGGCTCGTAATAAGTAGAAGTACGTCCAGTTCCTGGCCCACTAATGCAAGGTGACCACAGAATACTTGGGCCACCTCTCCCCAAGCTACTGGTGTGGTAGCTCAACGGTTGAGCATTCCTAAGTTGCTTGTGCAGTTGTGCTTACTGCTCAGTGTCGCTGACAACACTGGCCGGGCTTTCTCTTAGCTTTTCCCCCCCCAGCTCACATCGCACAGCTGCTTTCCTAAAAGCCACAGCTCAATCAAACGCACTCTCATTCCTGTCGACTGTTGTTGTTGTTAAGTTCTAGCCTCACACAGTACTCGATGGATATGTGTTGTATAGTTCTGCCTCTGTTTGGGATGTTAAATGAAAGAGCACATAAACATGGCAACGAAGTGAAAATTTGGTCTCACTCTGGTAAAAGGTTATCTCATTCCATGCCGTCCCAACAGATATGTACTTTTACTACTCAAGTGCACCTAATCTGAACGAGACGAGAAACATCATATGCTCACTGTAAAACTGTTCATTTGTACAGGCCTACAGGGCTGGGCACAGCAGCAGCATATATAGGAGTATGCACGGGTATCTACCACCTCCCAAGTACGAAGGAGGTGGACATGCCAGTGAACCACACGCAGTGTAATCATCATTCATCCATGCATGACTATTGACTAACTACCCTAGCTAATTGTTTTTGCATTTCTGATCTTTTTTCCTTTTTTGGGGGGAAATTCTTATCTTTATTTAATTTCGCTTGCTCTGACTGATCAAGCCGGTAGGCAGAGGAAGCCCATGTGGGAGTGTGAGCCTGGGAGGTGGAGACGGAGGCCCGCTGGGCGCTGGGCGAGCGG